TTTTGTCTCGCATTAGATTTAAGCAGAATTATTGTACTTTGGTGTATCTGGTGAAGAATTCTCAGCAGACACTCACAAACTGCAGATTCCATGTATCCATTGTTTTCACTTCGTATACCCTTTCACCAAACACGGCATTTAGTTTAACGTATCCGCAAATTAGCGTGGTTTAATGTATCCTTCCGCGCAACATCCCATCTCCCGCCACTGCTCTCCACACCCTCTCAGTGTTGTGATCTCATAGCATGCTAATGTACTGTACTGCTCTGTAGTCTCTCACTTATTTTCTACTGTAATAACATTGACTTGTCCCTTAACTATAGGCCCTAAGCATTCATTTAGTGTTAAAGGTGAGAAGAATGTGAAAAGGGTAAGGAACAAAATGATATTAGAAAAGAAGTTGAAGTGCTTGATAGACTAGTGTGTGAGGAGAGTATAGCATCAGTGGGAAGTGCTATGGACCTCTGCTCCCTGTTCCTCATCCACCATTGTCAAAGATAAATAACCCTGTACTGTACTGTAAAATTTACATTACTATTTAATTTATATTAAGCTACTTTATATACTTTTGACTTATATTTAATTAAATGTACACTACAGGTATTGTTTAATAAAGGAACAGGCAACTTAGTTTGGCTTTGATGAGTGTTATCTACAGCCATGGAACCTAATCCCCTAATACCCAAAAGCCTTTAGTCTTGCCAAACATGGATTTGCCAACAACGGGGTTTTTCAGGAACCTAGCTCCGGCAACTGGCGAGGTAATACTGTACAGGAATACCTCGTTATTTACAACCCCACTTATCAGCAATAGACATTTTAACACCCCTATTCGATATTCGCCAAGAACACCCCACTTATAAGCAAATGAATAATGATGATACCCTACAGTATTTCAAACAGGGCGAGCTAGCCACAGCTCTCACATTTCAATGTAAGGCAAACTTCACTTTTCTCTCTCTCTTTTTCCGTGCGGTTTAGAAATTAATGAAGTTCAATTGGACTGTTCACATGGCGTATGCATGGGAAACGATCACTCATGCCTGTACCTGCACTTCCAAACTGCCAAGTATTCTAGAATTCTTCACATGGCAATGATGAATGCTAGTTTAAATGCTTACACTCAATTACAAATGTTGTACACACACACATGCTCACTCATGCATGCATGCACACTCACTCACACACACTGTTCTTTTATATTGTTTTTATGTTATTGCATTATATGGAGTGCACCTGTACTGTATACAGTCAGTTCTCGATTTACGACGGGGTTAGGGACCGACGACCAGGTCGTAAGTTGCAAGTCGAAAATGCTAAAAATATACATAGAAAATCTAAAATGGGTGTCTCTTTTTCTTCTCAGCACAACAATACCTCTCACTTTTACGCTTGCCAGCCATTTACGCTTGCCAGCCATTTTAAAGGGAATTACAAAAAAAAATTTGTCAGTACACAGCGCGATCACCAACGTCGAGATTCGAAAATACGTAATTTGAAAAATATTTTATACGACTGTGGCGGTCGTATGTCGAGGAATACCTGTATTGAAAAACATGTTGCCATAAAATAACAAATATGAAGAGCATAGGTATGTATGTGTGAAATGAATGTGTGTATGGACTTGGCAGATCACCAAGTTGATTATCCCTGTAGCTACACCCCCTAACTCTCCTCCTACCAGGCCAAGCTGTGTTATCGTTATTTTTTAACTCGTAATTTCTGGTAGATAATGGATATGTACATATTTTTATTCAACTTTTTTTTTTAACTGTTACATGCAAACACAATTCATAGAGAATGTACAAAAAAAAGGAGGAAAATTATTATCATAAGGTCAAAAACATAGAATACAAATTTTTTACGCCTGCGGGGAGTAAGCGTGCAGATTGTGGAGAGCGGGTTAGGTTATGTTTCTTCTCTTTCTGGGGTGTAGGTTACAGTAGCATTTAAAGCTTTCTTTTTCCACTTCCTTCCAAGGCGAATTAAAAAATAATGAGTCTCCTTCATTCTGACATTCTAGTTATGGAATGTTCCTGTATATCACAATGTGATATTCAGTAACAAGAATGCTTGTAACCTTCCATTTCCCTTAGGATTTATAACTAAATTTGATAGGAATGAGGTTGTTAACAAAAATTCCGATATAGCCAATGGTAAACTGTGAGTGGAGTGGTTGTGCAGGCTACTGTGGTACATGGACTAGATCACCTCTTCACTAGCCTTCAATGGTAACTCTTCCCATTAATATACCTTTATCAGAAGCATGGCTGTAATGGGAAAGCTGTAGTAAATGCTTAATTAATGCCATCCATAAATGTCAATGGTTAAGCCAGGGATGTAACCCAGAGATTTGATGTGTACAATTCAAGAGTTTGTTTGTCATTGACTCGGTCACAAAATTAAATTTTCAGGATCAGTCTATTTCTCCTACCAAATTGAAAATATATTACAAAAGTATGGTAAAATAAACTGCACAATGTAGAATCTGAAATTTTTTTGTTCAGTATGAAGTCCATACCTGACAAACTGTAGTGCCCTGACATATTGACTATGCTGTTCCCATTAATAAACATCGCACAATGTAATATACAGCTGCAGGGTTTTAATACTACCAGTGTAACTAATTAAAACAGTTTCTTAATATCAGTACATAAAGAAACAAAGTAGCCAATACTTTTTAATGCAGATTATTTCTCTGTATCCAATGAGATTCCTACTTGAACTAATCAATTGTCTAATAATTTACCTCAGAAAAATATTGGGTTATAAGCTTCTACCTATGTGTAAGGTACACTACAGTGGAGGTGCAAAAATTCCCCAAATACAAATTCACATTCTTAAATTCATGGATACAGTATATATTTCTATTACCTTTTTTTTAAATTATGGAGTCAATTATTCAAAATTCATGGATAAGTGGGGGCTGCCACAGTGTTTATTTACACAAGAAACCATAACAGTTGTAGAAATATCATTTCAAATTAGAAATAAAGAATAGGTAATATGAAACTATATAATAAAAATGACGAGAGGGAACTGAATTCTGTGTGGGAGAGATGGGAGGTAAGACGGTTGGGCTGAGCAGAAAATTCCATCCTCCATTTCGTTAAAACGACAGTATGCAATTTCACCCTAATTCCCACATTATTTAGGTTCATTTTTCCAGAAAAACAAAAACACACTGAACCCCAGATTAGTTACTGTCATAATAAATTCCCGGTGCTTTGATTACGTCAAAACATGAATAGCTGACCAGCTAGCCCATGCCAGTGCCTGTCTCGATGTTGACGTATTGGCGTCACACAGACGATGATTATGAGCAGGGAGCTGTTTATATAAAACTAATTTTTGTACAATATCTACTGTACTGTATGTGTTACAGAAGGTCCTCGTTATCCGAGCTCAATAGGGACCCGAAAAAATCGGAGTGATTCCACGGATAAAGGTGAATTTATTCCCTTCAGAATTATAGGAATAGGGTCTAATTGAGACAATCTCACTGTAGGTGACACTGAAAAAGTTAAATTTTATATCTTTTAGCACTTATATATCTTAGAAACAATTGTTAAACATTTGATTACACATTATTTTACGAAATTTAACCTCATAACTTATTTAAGGTATTTAAAGTTGCTTGGGGTCGGTGTGTTAAAGCGACGCCGCTTACCTAACCATCAGGTCGGGCAACTGTGCACTCACGCATTCGCATACTCATTTCAGTGAAAGTGGTTCATCGAGACATTATTAAAAAGTTTTAAAAATAAATAACATATCAATGGTTTTTATTAGCTTACCTTCAAAAGTAGAGATGTTGGGCTTGACTGGACGGATGAAGGTGGATGTTGGGAGGAGTATGAGAGAGAGGCAAGACTAAGTGGATTGTCTACTGCCATCTCATCATCTCTGTGAGGTGTGGCCTTACACCAGAAGGACCTTGCTTCAGTTGGGAAAAGCTGCTACAAAAAATTCAAGCAGTGTCACCAAAGGCACAACAAATTCCCCAATATCCTTGGGGCACTTTCAAAACAAATGATTGGGGATGCGAGCGACTGTTAGTGCACATGCGTGACGCGGGCGAGAAGGACGAAATTTGAGAGAATGGGAGGCGGGCGGGAAATTTAAATGCTTATGCTCTTGACTGATGGATTTCATCCGTAGAATCCTCGTAGGTTCGGGGAATTTTTACCTTAAGTTCTCCAATAATTTGGGCTCGTAGCTGCGGATTCATGAATAATGAATAGTTGGATAATGAGGACCCCTGTACTGTATTTTTTTGTATTATGTATGCTATTTTGTGTTAATTAAAGTAGTTTTGGAATAGTTTGTGAATATTTTTTTGACCTATGGAGCCTAACTCATTATTTCCATGTAAATCAATTGAACTATAGTAATTCACAATATCATAATTCACTGTCTTCTGGTACCTAACCTGCAAATTATCGTGGCTCCACTGTACAGAATATTGTATATAGATTTACAACTGAGTTTACAATTTTCAATGTAATACTCAACACAATAGGGAATTAAGCAGGCTTAAACTCTTTTGCCGACCTATCGAAAAAAGAAGTTTTGACAACTTTCCAACCGCTTTATTTACAAATTTGGTATCCATATGCACAACCATATGATACTTTCATTGTTATTATGGACTTGTAGTTACTTTAAAATATTCTTTTTATTGATTTACAATAGGAGACAAAATTTTAGCAGGGTGACTTTAATAGAGCAGTCCTTTACAAGCGAGGAATTTGTTGAACAATTATAATTACTCTGTACAAAAACTGACCAGTGTCAATGTTTCACACTGTAAATACAGGTACAGTATAACCACAATATTATCGATGCACTCATAGGCATAGTGATAAATAAAACATTTAGGAGTTGGAGAGGACTATATGATGAGCTGTCAACAAGGTCTTCTGGAACGTGCCATACTTACCAATATTTAGGGGACAACATAGGGGGTGAGGTACAGGTGAAGAAAAAGGATTACTTACCTTGTTGTAGACCTATGGGTGGTCTCATACCTCCTAATGGGAGGGGTGGCATGCCTGTTGGCATTGTAGGAACAGCTGGTACAGCAGCTGACACCATGGGCTGAGGCGTCATTATTGGCTGCATGTTTGGCCGCATAATGGCTGGTAGGGATACTGGTATAGCCATATGCCCTGCGTGCACCATAGCTGGAGACATGGTGGTTACCATGGTGGGGCCTATGGAAGACACCATAGGGGGGGCCTCAACCACCACACCAGGGTGACCGGACCGCACCCCTGCATGATGGGTAATCATCCCACCCATAGCCATTGCTGCAGCAGCAGCATTAACTTGGCTGTTGTAACGCGCCATCTTCATTCGACGCTCCTCCTGCAAACAAACACATAGTGATGATTTATTCAGCTCTTACCGCTAAAGTGTGATTTAAGATTTCAAATGTTGATCTTGACAGCAGTAGTGAAGTGGCTGATCCTATTGTATATAGAATAATCCAGGTCTGGCAATGACACAGTAGAGGCGGGTTGCACCTGTGTGTCTAAACACATCGCCGGTGAGTAGAAATGGTCCAGGCAGGCAGGCACAAGTTGAGAGAGGCGTGAAGGTGCAGTACTCACGGGTGGAGACTCCACGCGCTGGGGGGGTGGAGCCGGGGCAGGAGCCCGGGCCCTTTGCGGGGAGGCTCGAGGAGCCTGCTGGTATCGAAGCATACCTGCCCGCTTCTCTTCCTACGTGAGGGTGAGAGGGAGACACGTGAACACAATACAGCCCCACCACAACCCATGCTGCCACCACGCTGCCATCACACTCTCACCACCAGCCAACACAACACAATATAGTTTGTTCCCTCCATCCCAATCATTACCTACCAAACTTAAAATATTTAAGCTTAGGAGAGAGAAGTGCACATCATTCACTAATGATACCTATAATCCACAATACCTGAAACCATTGACAAACAGATCCTGATTTAACCTAATTCTACACTATAATAGCAATTGGATTATACTATTTTTCCAAATAAATTTACAGTTGGAAAAGACAGAACTAAGGATTCAACAGCTTACCTTTTCACTTAAGAATTAAAGCAGGAACCTTACCTTTGATTCTGATACCCATTTCCGATACTAAGGCATCGGATTCTATATTATCAGAGTAGATAGCACCTTTTTTTAAGAAAATAATTACAAAATCAATAAATCAAGTTAAATCAAAAGTTATACTGCAGGAGTATACAGTAGAGTCACGATAATTTGCGAAATATAATTTCACGGTCTTAAAATCAAGGGTACTTCTATTACTATCTCAATTTAAATCTCAAAAATATTCCTAATGTGAGGCTAAGCACTGCAATGTATATTTATGAAAGAAACCATAAAAGTTGTGGATATATTATAACAATGCATTCCTCTATTATTCGTGGATGACACTCTAGATGTACCCAAGAATGTCTGTGGATAGTTTTAAAGTTGCTGGCATTTTCGTGGCTGGGACAGGAAGCCATTCATTCTAGAGATGGTTATTTCCTTTACTTGTATTGTAAATGTGTGTGTGTGTGTAGACACACACACACACATATGCAATACAATACATATATACAATCAAACATATTTATAAAAAATGTGAGTCTACTCTCAAGTCCGTGCTTTATTACTTTATTAATAAAGCACGGACTTGAGGGTAGACACTCATATAATTAATAAATTTATTTCTGATTATTTGTGAGAATATTTTCCCATTATTGTTTATTTGTACGTATGGGTTTTGCACACACGCACACACACACACATATTTACAATACAGGTAAAAGAAATAATTGTCCAAAGGGAATATTACTCTCCCATTACATTAGGCCATGGTCACAAGCAAAAAATATTTATGGTTAACGAAAGTGTATAAACTTTTATCCACAACATGTTCTAATTGTGTTCAAAAGATAAATTTGGTACCAATATGATCCTGAATAAATTCTCTACAAGATTTTGTCATTAAAAGATACTTAAACGGAATATTTTGACATGATATACTGATTAGGACTCCATCCTTTTATGGAAAAAAAATGGAAGAAATGTTTATACCAGTCTATAATATCAGTTCTAATCAAGTTAGGAACACCATTTTTTACCAAAGTATTCCTGAATAGTTTATCTAAATTTACTTTATTTTTTAATTTTAACAGAACATTACTGCTAGCCACTGTGTGGTTTGTCTTCACAACTAGGCACACTAGCAAAATATTTAACTGTCTTCAGTTGAAAAGAATTTAAGACTAATGCATATGCAGCATGCCCTGACACTTCGCAGATTTTTATTTCATGGATGACACCCTGGATGTACCCAAGAATGTCTGTGGGTAGTTTTAAGGTTGCTGGCATTTTTGCGGCAGGGACAGGGAGCCATTCATCCTAGAGACAGTAATTTCTTTTACCTGTAGAGTATTGTATGTGTGTTGTGTGTGTCTACACACAACACACATATATACAATACAGGTAAAAGAAATAATTGTCCTAAGGGCAAACACAACACATAAAGGGAATATACATTTCTTTGCGCACGAGTAAAAATATATAACCCCCCGGTTAGCAAATGTTATTCGTGGATTTGGCTATTTGCGGCCATTTTGAGAACCTAACCCCGGCGAATTTTAAGGACATGCTGTACTAATAATAGTAGCTCTTCATAATCATAACATCATAACTGTAATTTAAATATTTATCATCATCTGCAATTAAATTATCAGGATTCACCAAGTTACTATTTTTTTAAGAACAACTATCTACTGTTCATCAACAAAATGTCAGTTATATAAAACTGCATTAAGGTTGACAACACCACTATAGGCAAGTTCTTCGTGCCAGAAAAAAACCTGTACAGTTAAAATAAATTAATAAAACACAGAATCCTACCTAATTCTTGCATTATAAACAGCACTGTGCACATTCAATCATGCCTGCCAACTAGTTTTCCTGTTTGCTTCCATTTAAATTTTCCTAAGTCCATAATTTACCCAATACTAAAAGCTAAGTACTGTAATAGGAAAAAATCTGGTTGTGTTGGCTGGGGTGTGTGGACAGTCTGCGAGCAGCTGAAAGCCCAAAATCACCTGTTAATCCCAAGGAGAGAGAGACAAAAGAGAGGGAAAGATCTTATATAGAGTGGAGAACACCCTACTCTCTCCCTCTCTCTGAATTAAACCAGGTTATTGAGGAAATTACAACATTTTTAACTAAAATTATGTTCACATTTTGTTGCATATAAAGAGTATTTCTTTAAATATGAAATATAGTTACTGCATTGCTCTAATTCCAATAATGTTCATATATATGTATATAAATATATATATATATATATATATATATATATATATATATATATATATATATATATATATATATATATAAAGAAGTTGTATTTACCACAATAACTTGGACAATACTGATGCTTCACCATTACACCACGAACATGAACAATTCATGAGCCAAATGTGTTAACTGATAGGAGGAGGCCCCAAACACTACTTAAAAGATAGAGTCAATAAACTAAAGCACTTTTTTGTTAGCTCCAGGATCATAGCCATAACTGATCCTACCTACCGTTCATCAATATGACATGCAAAATAAAAATTACAAATACCTAAGGATTCATATTCTTATCACTACTGTATATATATCTCACACCAGTTTTTTACCACTGAAAGTAATCAGGCCATTAATGTGGGAAATAACTGAAGAATTGTATCAGTTGTAGTGACAATCTTCCATAAAAAATACATATACTGTATGACAAGTATAAGGATGAAAAAATGTGGTTGGATTAAACAAAAGGGGGAGAGGGGAGTATATACATTTCTAAAAAAAATCAAAATTTGAATTCCAGTTTTAATTAAATTTGTTTTCACTGATTGTATAAATGCAATTGTCTTAGGTTGCAGCCCCTCATCAAAATGTTAACTGAAAAATATTAAGTAGAACATTTCTCCAATGAATTTGGGACATAAAGTACCACCTATAAATATAATTCATGGCTTAGAAAACAGTGTGCATCAGTTTCTGTAGTTAAAATATGCTATTTCATCATAATTATCTACTTAAACTTGACTAAGTTTCCCAATTATTTATGGAATGAAAAGACATTTGGAGAACATACCAACAAAAGAAAGATGCCATCAACCCTTTGCCGTATTTTGCTGATCATCTTTCCAAGTTTAATGGATATAAAAGATTTACAGCACAGAAAAAGAAACAGAGCCATCAGTGTATACTATGAGCAAATGTGGTGCTCGACATTATTTTGTGCATCTGAGACAGTTGGAGTGAATAGCTTGAGAAACCTGGCATCATTGTGACCACCTAATAGTCACCTGGGATCACTTTAACACTTTTGGATTGCCTGAAATTTAATTAATGAGCCTGTCACTCCCTCCATTTGGAGCCCAAAGAATGACCAGAAATTGTAGACACAACTTTCCCGAGCGCTATTCGCTGGCTATATATGGGAAAACATGATAACCCCCACCCACCCCCCAAAAAAAAATATATATATACCGTATATAACACACACACACACACACACACACACACACACACACACACACACACACACACACACACACACACACACACACACACACACACACACACACACACACACACACACACACACACACACACACACACACACACACACACACACACACACACACACACACACACACACACACACACACACACACACACACACACACACACACACACACACACACACACACACACACACACACACACACACACACACACACACACACACACACACACACACACACACACACACACACACACACACACACACACACACACACACACACACACACACACACACACACACACACACACACACACACACACACACACACACACACACACACACACACACACACACACACACACACACACACACACACACACACACACACACACACACACACACACACACACACACACACACACACACACACACACACACACACACACACACACACACACACACACACACACACACACACACACACACACACACACACACACACACACACACACACACACACACACACACACACACACACACACACACACACACACACACACACACACACACACACACACACACACACACACACACACACACACACACACACACACACACACACACACACACACACACACACACACACACACACACACACACACACACACACACACACACACACACACACACACACACACACACACACACACACACACACACACACACACACACACACACACACACACACACACACACACACACACACACACACACACACACACACACACACACACACACACACACACACACACACACACACACACACACACACACACACACACACACACACACACACACACACACACACACACACACACACACACACACACACACACACACACACACACACACACACACACACACACACACACACACACACACACACACACACACACACACACACACACACACACACACACACACACACACACACACACACACACACACACACACAGTAGTACCCCATTTACGCTGTCAATTGAACTCACAGGCACCATGAAAGTGAAATCATGAATGGAACAACATAACATATGGGATTAATTCCAATAGAGACTGTCTGATCCCCAAACTCCACTTTTTCCGA